TACGTTGGTGATATTTTTTAGTTAACAACAATACAAACTTTTTTACCAAAGTCGATAGAGATCATGTGGGTGTGTTGTGAGGTGGCGCCATCCGTATGATAGTTGCATTGATGCTTATTGCTTCTTGTGGTATTGCGCGTCTTGTGATGGATCTGCGGGTGTGCTGCGCCTGATTCGACGTATTCTTGTGGTTCTGGTCGATGGAGGTATGCGGGTGGTGATGTCTGCTGGGATTTATGGGGACCTTGGGATGGTGTAAGTCCGACGATAGTCGTATTGATGTTTGTTGCGTTCTGCAGCATTGAGTCTCTGCAATTGTTGTTTGGTGGGACGCTATTCTCAATGGCGCTCTCTGCGTCTTGTTTTGACTCACACCTAAGTAGCTTTGCCCAAGTCGGGCCCCTTCATTACGGGGCTGCAGACTGTCTGACCTCCATGATGTTTTATATAACAACATAATTATATATCTCTAACTTTCCCACCTTTGAATGATCGAAGGAAACTTGTTGGTGGGTGAGACAAACATGGTCGTAAATGCATTTACTTAACGTCAGTGACACAAAATCTTTTTGATGGCAAATTATTACTAACATCTTATAACTGCCTTTTGGCTATATCTGCCGTTGTATTGGTTGGTGGAGCATATGTGTCGACCTCATGCGAGTGGTAGCTGGCGGTAGGATCTGAGGAGACTCTCAAAGCTACGGCTGAAAGCCGCACAACGTGGGACCCCGTTCCCTTGAGGTGAGAGGTAGACTCATGACACGCTCTGCGGCTAGTAGCCGTGCTGATCATGCAATTGGTGGTGATGCCATACACTTACGTCACGTCTGCAGGAGCGGCGGTCTGGCAGGTGGTGGTGCTCACGGAGGGTTAACGGCCAGTGTGCCTATTTTTCTAAACCGTGTGACGTACACTCACTGTGGCTGGATTCGTTCATATTCTGTATGGCGTTTACACGCATTGACATGCGCGACTTCAGTAGATGTTTGAGCTTACGCACTAACAAGGGGCCAAGCCTCTTTTACTGGTTCGCCAGTTATTTTGCTGTGGGCTACGGACCAGTTCCCGAATTAGCGTTCCCTACGGGGGGAGTGCATCAAAATGGTTGGCGCTCACCGCGCTCCGCGTGTGTGGAGCCGTGTGCCTCCCCTACATGTTTTTAAATTAATTTAGGAGAGCGAAGCCCTTGTATCGGGTATTTTATGTATAAATATATTGTGAGCCCTTTCCAAGCGCGAAGGGATAAATAATAATAAATTAATAATGTAGGTAAACCTGATACGAGTGAAATAAGGACGTTTTATGTTCTTAACTTTTCTCGAGCCCTGTCTGTGTGATCGGGTTTCACTTAGCTTATAAGGCACTACCAACAGCTTTCGATTGCTCTAGTGAATATTCATTCTTCCAAAAGACACTTAAAATAAGTTACTAAATAAACACAACGTAAATAAGGGCCCTCACTAAGACGTCCACGCCAAAAATATTACAAAGTGCCTATTATTAAACCTTTAGAAAGATCATTTAGAAAGATCAAAACATATTTTATTTATCCTGGTCACATATACATAATTTTATTTAAAAGGGGTAAATTAATTATATATAATATATTTAGTATATTTATTATTTTGAGAGGTGAGAGGTGAGGGGGAGTATTACAATATCAACAGCTTCCAGGCCGTACGTACATTAAACCATCCAAACAGCCAACTCGCCGTTTCCGTCCAAATGGCCACCTCGCCTTTTTAGACAATCTATATCTGCACCTTCTAAGGCCATCTCGCCTTAACAGGTATCCCGCCGCCGTTAAGATAGCTTGCACACAACTTCTGAAGCCACCACGCTGTTCGTCACATACTTCAAACACACCCACACACACACACACACTCACACTCTAGCATAAGAATAGGGGGAAAGATTAGCCACTTGACTGTCACGGCACCTCCACGTGACCAAACGCATCCGCCGCGCCACCTCTGAGGGAACTCGCGCGATCGCAGCACGTGTAATCAAATTTACAATTTCTCCAAAGTCCCGTATGAGAGGCATATACAAAGCTTACGTAGTTGGGGTCATTATAAAATAAGCTAACAAATTACGTACAAATCAGGACAGCTCCCGTCGTAACACATTATCAATTCTATTTTGAAATTAATGTAAGCGACTCCCTCCTATTTCATTGCACATAAGTCGTTACAATCACAAAATCAAACATTTATTTGATAAACATTTTACTTTACCCACTTAAAGACATTATTTATCATTAATCCATAAAAATAACACCTCTCGACACATTTCTTTCACCCCACAAGCTCTACGATAACAACGTCACTTATGTGACCCATTAAGGTAAGTTTATGCTTCGATTTCGAGAATACTGAAAATCAACACATCTCACATTCTTATCACAAACAAAATTTTAACTGTTAGATATGGCAATATAGCACATTGAAATACGTAGGAGCCGATGGAGCTCCAGAAGGCACTTGACATAATATGCGCGTTTGTTTACTCCAACATTCCTGAGACTTGTTTACTCCAACATTCCTGAGACGAGGGATTAGTAGGCATGTAAAATAACAAAACAAATATAACAGCAATCGTACTATTGGTACCTTCAAAAAAAAATGCAGCACATGTTTCGAGTGTCCATTCACCCTTCCATAACACCATGTATGCTGTGGCTGCCTTACTAGTCTTTCCGTAAGCACCGGCTAACAATTGGACCCCATATAGTAACTTTATAAGGGGCTCTCAACCGCTATCGAGCTATGAGATATCGGTGCTTTGAGAGCTCTTAATCACATGGACCATATCCTTAACTTGAAACTTTTTAGGCGGTTTCCTCTTTTTATTAACATAATAGTCTTGTTTCTCTTTGTTTTTGCGAATAACGGTGATTTACCTAATGCATAGCATAACATAAACACTCACACGCTTGTCACCCAGAGGGGTAGGCAGAGACTACAGACTTCTATTTAACTCGCGCTCTGCTCGTCGGTTAATGATACTCTTAATTTGGCCCATTTTTAGTATATCGCCAATTTGGTTGACAAACTTCCGCCTAGGACGTCCCTTTCCGACTCTTCCATTCACTTCTGCAACATATATTTGCTTTGTCAGTCTTTCCGCATTCACTCTTTCTACATGACCAAACCACCGAAGCATTCCTTTCTTAATCCTGGTTACTGCATCATCTTGCAAAACACACTCTTCTTTTATCACACAGTTTCTCACCCAGTCACTCAGATTCAGCCCTAACATACTCCTTAGCGACCGCATTTCTACTGCATTTATTCTACTCTCGTGCTATTTCTGCAACACCCAACTTTCACTACCATATGTTAAAGTAGGGACTAATACAGCATTGTGAATTGCCATACGTGCCATTTTAATCTAATAAATAAAATAAAATTAATATTTAACACAGCATTATTTTTAGAGAACAATCAATATCACGCGATGAAAACCAGCAATCAACTTGATTCAGACTTTTTCCTCCGACACACACACACACACACACACACACACACACACATATATATATATATATATATATATATATATATATATATATATATATATATATATATATATTCGTTTGCATGCAATGTGTGGTTTGAGGGTATCATTCGAAAGTTAATTTTTATCGGCTTTCAGGAATTTTAATTGAATTTTACCGTCATAACATTTTAATGATTTCATGATTTTTTTATTAATAATGTAAAGCTATTCAAATACCCATTTCAAACATACCAATATTTATATAAATATAATTCGTTTCTAGCAATTACAGCCATTTTTCGCGCAAATTCAGAAAGGTGCGATTTTTGTGACGCTGAGTATATATATATATATATATATATATATATATATATATATATATATGGTTTGAGGGTATCATTCGAAAGTTAATTTTTATCGGCTTTCAGTAATTTTAATTGAATTTTACCGTCATAACATTTTAATGATTTCATGATTTTTTTATTAATAATGTAAAGCTATTCAAATACCCATTTCAAACATACCAATATTTATATAAATATAATTAGTTTCTAGCCATTACAGCCATTTTTCGAGCAAATTCAGAAAGGTGCGATTTTTGTGACGCTGAGTATATATATGTATATATACATATACATATATATATATATATATATATATATATATATATATATATATGGTTTGAGTGTATCATTCGAAAGTTAATTTTTGTCGGCTTTCAGTAATTTTAATTGAATTTTACCGTCATAACATTTTAATGATTTTGATTTTTTTATTAATAATGTAAAGCTATTCAAATACCCATTTCAAACATACCAATATTTATATAAATATAATTCGTTTTAGCCATTACAGCCATTTTTCGAGCAAATTCAGAAAGGTGCGATTTTTGTGACGCTGAGTATATATATATATAATTAAAAATCCATTCACACTTATAATTATAATACTACACAGACCGTAGACAGAGAATCCTAAGACTCTACTCAATAATATTCTTCTTTAGTTGAGTGATTAAATTAAAGTGATTAAATTTAAAGTTTGATGCTCCTTCAATAAGTAATAGAAAAAATATCGATTTGAATTATATCACATTACACATTTTTGTAAAAACCTGGAAGTTAACCTTACAGTGGTTTGGTGGATCTTTTAATAATTGACATGTAAAAAGATTTATCTAGGTGATTTTTTAGATGTAATTTGCTAATTACTTAGGTATGTCGAGGAAACGAGGCAGTCATAAAGTAATAATTAATATTGATTGTAACAATTTAGATCGGGTTTTTTTTAATATTTTGTTATTTTCTTTTATTGAAGCTACGCTGACAACACTGGATGCAACGTCGAGCATTTCTGTCATATGAATAAAATGAAATGGTTTTACGCCGGTGATCAAATGTATATTATTGAATAGATTAATAATTGCTTATCTAGATTACTATTAAAAGTAACTAAAACACGAAACCTATCATATTCGTGTTTCTGTAGTGTTAAAAATGTATATTCGAGGTAGGTACTTCTATGAAAGCTCCGTTCTAAAAAGTAAACATTTAACCACGCCAGGTATCTGATAAAACTTACAATGGAAAATATGGGACAAACCGTCGAATACAATAAAAACTGTAATACATTTATAGTATTGAAATTTAGGGTTAGAGACGCAAGTAACGTTGTGTTATATTTTTTTGTAAAAACATCGCAGCACCTAAGGCCACGTCATTGTAAAAAGGATTTTTACCGGCGGATAAAAATCTGTTTTAGGTTATCTTATCATATTAAGCGTAATAAAAAAAGCTAAATGCCGATATTTTCTAAGGTTAACAAATTCGGTAAAACAACTAAAGGTAAAATAAGTTATATTGTATTTCTGGGACAATATATTCTTTATTGTATACTGCCTTGTTGGTCTAGTGGTTGTAGTGCGACTGCTGATCATGAGGTCCTGGGTTCGAACCCGGGTTGGACCAAAAAATTAATTAAGTATTTTTTAGTTTTAGTTTAGTTTACGACGGGCTGTTTTCCGCAACTCCATGTCTATAATCAATTAAGTATTAAGTTTTTCCTGTCAAGAAATGCTCAGTAGCTGCTTAGTCAGGAATTTGGCGGTGTTCCACCACCGTGTCTCAGAAACCACGTAAAGCCGTTGGTCCTGTGCCTGATCTCTCTCCGGTCATGTCGGTTTACCGTCCCATCAGATTATGAGAGTGCACCTATGCTTGCGCATACACTTGGGCACTCTAATCCTGTCCAGCACCGATAGCTAGCCTCCATTGAGGCAGGCCGCCGTGGCCGAAATTCGGTCTGGAGGGCATTATTATTATTATTATTATATATTAGATCCACCCCTGCTTTGCACGGGTGATTTCTGTATCTCGACAACAGTGCCAATGCCCAGTGCCTACTGGGTCCAACTGAATTTTTAAACTGTCAAGGGACTCACTCAAATATACACAAAACAATTCATCAATATCAGTTGCGCCAATTTCGAGTATTTGTGGGACTGAACAGCAATTGATTTTTATATACTTATAGAGATTATTATACAGTATTCTTAATTTTCCAATAGAAATTATTGTGAATAATTTTTAAATTACTTCTCAACCTCTTTTTTCCTTAATTTGATGCCCTTTTTTGCAGTGCTATGTCTTCTTTTTTTAAGTTCTGTAGCTCTTAGTGAAGCTAATGTTCTTCAGAGTACTGTTAACATAAAGAAACTGCAAGGAATCTTAGAAGAAGGTCTCAAAAGCAAAGATGTCAGTACTTTGTATTTTGCTATTAAAGGGTACAAACTACTTAATGCTACAATACCTGATGTCTGTGAAGTAAGTTATTCATGTTATTTGTTTTTACTTTATGTAAGCTCCATTACCTTGTAAAGTTAAAAAAACAAAGTTCAATCTATTGGTGTAACTAGGCTTACTTTCTGAAATCTTTAGGAATCCTGATGTTCATTAGTGAATCAAGTAAGGTAAAATTCCATTTCATATCAAAACCTTAAAAGTTTGAATCCTCTGCTCTTGTATGCAATGTTTATGGATGTAACATTTTTTTGTTTGAGGAAGTGGGGTGCTATAAAGCCTGTTTTTTTTTTTGTAGTAAAATGGAACAATTACGCTTTAAAAAACAGCGCTGCACACTTGTCATTATGTTTCCAATCTTAAGTGTCTGTTGCATTTGTACTTGGAAAGTATTGACTTAAAACATAAAGTAAATTAACACTGAGTCTGAGAGACATACCGACAAATGTTTAATTCTGGCCTTGAAAAGAACCTTGTAATCAATGTTTTGTACTGCCAACTAGGGATGTTCTGATTTTACTAAATGCTGAATTCTAATAATTGAACTATTCTTGTATCAATATTTTGAACTGCCAACAATAGATGCTCTGATTTTTATAAATGCTGAGTTCTAATAATTGTACCATTCTTTAAGTCTAGAGTGGGCACCAGGTAAGCAAATCATTATCAATTTTAGGGTATAGTTCATTTTAGAGACAAATCATTAACCCTTCAATCCCCATAAAAATCCCATGCAGTTGTGTGCATCTGTCAAATCCTGAGCGGTCGCATGCAATCGCACCCACCCGCGCCACTTTAAACCATTAGAACTTATAATTAGAGACTACTTTTCTATGAAGAAGTTTGGCATTATAAAATCTATACATAATTCTCTATTCTGTGGTCTAAAAAAAAGTCAGGTTTTACTTCATTACAAAAAGAATATTGTATTTTGATAACAAAAAATGGGTACATACTAAGCAGATATCGGGAGCGTGAAAGTCATTATTATATTTCTATGTATTACTCGATATTATTTACTTAAAAAGATATATTATATTCACACAAAAACTTTTATAACAATTTTATATTAAAACACTATAGTAAAACACTAGAAAAATCCAAAAATCAACACAACAACATCCAAATGAAAATGGCGTACACAATGAACGTAGATTATAAATAAATATTCATAGACTAACTCACTTTTTATTGCATCAGAGGATAGAAAATTTCATATTGATTCTATAATGCCAAACTTCTTCATAGAAAAGTAGTCTCTAAATATAAGTTTTAATGGTTTAAAGTGCTGTGGGTGTGCACGGTCGAATCCAACCGCTTGGAATTTGATGGAATAGAGACCTTGGTCGGATCCGACCACTTAGGGTTTGAGAGGTTAAAATTATAAACATGTGATCATATAGTTATTTGTTTTCTATGACTCAATAGCGGAAGGAAATAAGGAAAAAACGGAGGGCTGAATATCCCCAAAAAACAGCTTATTTCTTAATTAATTATTAAATAAACATTTTTAATTTAATGTATATAAAAAACAATAATATGTATTATTGTCATACCATCCAATGTACAAAATACAAATACAAGTGGGAGCGACCTTTTTTTTAAAAATGTTATATAGATCTCACAGTTACTGTATTAAAACATGTTTTTTTTTTAACTTACAGGATTTGAAAAATGCGAAATATGATAAGACTAACGTAGAGCATGTGTTCTACTTCACAAATGCAGCTGCACTTTCTAATTGTCGAAACATTCTGAAACCAGATGTTCTGCCAACACCCACTCAGACACTGGACAAAAAAGATGCCACTTTACAAGAATTATACTATGCTGTGTTTTCTCTAAAGGCTATGGGTAAAGGTTCTATTTATGATAAAGAAGATGCCTTGAAGAACCTCATACAATTGTTGAAGAAAGATGATTCTCCTGCCAAGTGAGCTCAATCTTATATTTTTTATCAGTACAAATATTGACTCAACTATATTAAAGGGTTTTGGTGTCTTGGTTCCATACCAGGACCCCTTATTTTTATTTAACATTGGACTAACAATCAAGCTAATAGCAGGGAGTGGCCAGTGCAGTCCATGAACACCTACAACCAATTAAAAAAAAGAATGCCCCAAAGTGTTATCATTCCCCAGGATTAGGATAAAGTGCCTCATAGGTTGTAATTTTACTGGCTCTAGAAGCTCCGCTACTTGGCCATATGAATAGGTAAAACTTACACTTTAAGTAATGTACTCTAAAATTTTAATCTAATTTGATTTGTTTTTAATCAAATTCAACAAATAATTTCGAAGAATATTACTTTAATTTGGGGCTTAATTTCAAATTAAGAAATATTATAAATACATTTTTGAGCTTACCCCACATGTATGTACGCTTGCGTACAATTTACGTAATATAACACGACACATTTACGTATATAAAACTGACAGGGGTTGACCGAATTTAGAGACTTCCATTTGGCACAACCTTGACACTGTTTTGTCACTTTTTTCACATCCAAGTACTCTTAATGAGAACATCTTCAATATATAGTCTATTTGGTTGATAAAGTTCTCTCTAGGGTGTTCCTGGCTGATTCTCTTTCTTTAATCATTTTACATATTCATACAATGGAAACATTCCTTTCTTAAATCTTGGTCATAACATGTTGCAAACCACACTTCTCTTGTCGCACAATTTCCCACCCCACTATTTGGTTACCCCTAATATACTTCTAAATGACTGCTTCTACAGTAGAATTTTACCAACCAGCTTTCCTTCTATTGTTATTTCACAAATCATTTTACTTTCTTTGCTTTCAAAATTCATTAATTTACCTTGCTGGCATTTATTTCATTCCCATTTTATTTATTGAGATGTTCTTTAATGTAACAATCATTTGTAATTTGTCCGCCAACAACACAAATATGATTTGATCGCCAGCATACAATACACATTTATTGGTTAACTAACCAATTCTAACCCAAATTCTTCGACGTTCAAAGTTTAGAAGCAGCTGTCTTCTGTGATTACTTACATTAAAAGATCTAATCTGTATAACCCCTTTCTAATTCTAGATCTTACTGTTTACTTTTTTTAATACTATAGAAAATATTAGTGATACTATGGTATACCAACACCTCAGAGTTGACAACGCATTTGCCCACCGACAGACCTTTATTTACACAGCAACCTTTATTTATGGGTTGTTTACTACCTTGGATAGTTATGTCCAACTGTGGACTGAATGGTGTGATGTTGTATCTTATTAATGTGATAAATGGTCTAGAAAATGTTACATATAATATGCTAAAACATAAAGGATGCTATGTATAAACAATATGATACGCAGCTATGGGTACGTGTTCGCGCTGTGCGAGCACATGGGCTGCGGTGCGTGGACGTCGTCTCATGCTGACGGAGTGTTGCTGGCGGCTGACGAGAGTGATTCTCGAGCGTTGCACTTCGATGGTGGATTGCCTGTCACCGCATTACTGCTTGGTACTATTTCTAGGTGAGTATTCATATCATCATCATCGCTTTCATCCATTGCAAAGGTGTATGTATAATATAGGTCTCCTCCCATAGATCATGTCAGGGATATTTGCTATAGTTTACTTGATTTATAAATCTATTCCTAGGAGCACCACAAAACACAGTCCTGAGCCCCATGCATCCTTCAACTTTTTGCATGTCGGCCATTAACCTCATGTACATGGAAACAGATATGTTTAGTTTCCTGTTTAAATAGTAAATAGTATTTCTATACAATCATATTTATTTATTAATTCTATTATTATTTCTTGACAGAACTTATAAAAGTCTGAAGAAACCATCACCTTTAAATGAAGTACAGCGCTACAAGTTTGCAAATTACATAACTGGCCGATCAGTTAGCACACCACGGGGGGCCGCCTTGTTGTTGGAGGCAGCTAATGCTCTTGCTAATGACGAGGTAGGTATTTTTTTAAGAAATATAAAATCATCATCATTACAGTCCTTCAGAATCCACTGCTGAACAAAGGCTTTCCCCAAGGAATGCCACAAAGCACGGTCTTGAGGTATATAGCTTGAGCATATCTTACCAGGCCGTCACTCCATTTAGTGGAGGACCTTTCTACACTCGCTTACCATTACAAGGTTGCCAATTAAGAACCTTCATCATCGGTTATCGGTTCTTTGAGCTATATGGCCATCCCATTGTCACATGACTAATCCGTGATTCTCGTATTTTTCTAATTTTAGTATATTTTCTTTACAGCCATCCCCAATCAGCATTACAATTAAAGGGAAAAAATATATCACTTTCGAATCTGATAGTGTAGAGTTTTCCATCACTGATCTGATTGGTCGTCCAGTACGAGGCCTAAAGCCTGAGGAAGTCGTAGCTCAATCCGCCACAAGACTTGCCGATGATGTTGTTGTTCTCTCCAAGCAACCACTTACACAGAAACCTAATGACCCCACGACTTACGTCCTTAATTTAAGCAAGATTAAAGCACAATATGGATTGTACAAGATCTCCCTCAGTGCTGGGTCAAAAACAGCAAACATTAACATAGCTGTGTTGGGTGAAATTCAAGTTGGCAGCTTGGAAGTGGGTGTTGGTGATGTGGATGGAACAACAAGCCCAAAAATCACAACTATCACTTACCCAAACAAGTTGTCTGAAACACTTCAAGCAGATCACTTACAAAAGTAAGTACAACGAGACACTTTCATAGTGATATCTTTAGTCAGATTTATTTGTAGAATTGTTTAAGACGACATTGACTTAATATTGAACTTTTAGCTCTCTAAAGCAAAAAAATCAAGATTGATCACAAATTATAACGTCATTTTGGCAGTTTTAAGGTGGTTTTTATAGCTATTGATCAATCATCATCATCATCCCACAAAGTCCACTGTTGAACAATTATCTTAAGAGGGAAACTTGATACAGTTGCCATGTTTCGCGGGCGGGTTAGCAACTGCAGTTATTTTTGTGGTTACCAGGAAGTTACCTTTTTTTGTAGTTATTGGGAAACTAAATCAAGAAGATCCTGATGCCCACCTGAAACTGAATCTTAATGATTCAGTTTCCTCTGTCATTCTTATGTCGCTTTTCCATGGTGGTTATGGTTATCAATTTCTGATTATATTTTTATTTTGTGACCTTTCCAAGGCTTTTGATTGTGTTCACCATGAGACATTAATAAGGAAGCTTCAGTACTATGGTGTCAAAGTAATAGAATGCAGAAAGTTATTATCAATGGTAAAAGTTCTTCCGGGTCTACCGTAAAAATGGGTGTCCCTCTGGGCTCGATTCTTGGTCCATTCCTATTTTTAGTGCATATTAATGACTTACTTTCCCTTGTAGAGGATAATCATGATATAGTATTATTTGCTGATGATACTTCCTGGATTTTTAAACTTAAACATCAATCAATTAAATGTGACGAAGTGAATAATGCAATATCAAAATTAGTGGATTGGGTTAACAATAATAATCTGCATTTAAACGGCAATAAAAATAAATGTATCAAATGTACAATATCAAATATTAAAAATCTGAAAAAACCTGTTGAATCCTCCGTTTTTCTTGGCATCATTCACGACGCAAAGCTTCAGTGGGCCCCCCATATATCCAAACTAGCAAGCAGACTAAGCTCTGCAGCTTATACTGTAAAAAGATTAAAGATCTCACTAGTGTCGAGACAGCTAAATTAGCTTATTATAACCTAAAACCGAGAGAGTCTCTTAGAGAAAAATTTTAAGGAATAAATATATTAACTTTTTCCTTACTTTCTTGGTATATTTATGAAAATTATAATGTATGTTCACAAAAACACAGGTACTCTAAATTAAAAAAAGGTAGATACACTCTGTAAACACTAGGAACAACACAAGTTAGTGATACATACAGGCGAAAAAAAGTACATTGACCTTTGACAATATCATCGGGGTAGGCAATCTTTTTTGTTTAGGTTCATGTTTTTATCCTTTTATCATTACATACATCTTCAGAGTGAAAGATAAGGGTGCCGAGTGCGAAGTTCTTTACAGATCCTATGTCTATTATTATATTATAAAGAAAGAAGATTATCCTGTACCTAAATGAATTAAAAAGCAAATTAATATTAATTTAAATTTATTATTTATAAATCATAAGTTATTACAATTTTCATTATTACGTTAATAGTAGGTAAGTAGTTTAATAAGTAGGTAGGTAGGTAGTTGTATGAAACATAACCACTTCTTGGAAGTCAGGTAAGAAGACGAACTTTTAATGCTAAGCATTCTCAAGCAACCAACTTTGAAGCATGCATAAAACTTCTCATAATCAGAGACACTTGACAGACTATTCATCTGTATCTATTTCAGAATCATTTTATGATGATGAAGACATAGTAAAGCTCATTGATTATTAATAAACTAAAATATCGGCAGCCTTCTTTTTCATATCCGTTTTGGATGGATATACGTCATTAGACCACGTTTCTTTTACATATTTATAGATGTTTCCAATCATTATTTTTTCGATTTCCGAAATATGTATCAAAACAAGACTATCTCAAGATGCTTGTGACTTACAGAAAGAACTTAAACAATTTTTTTCCGTGCTTGTTTCGGTAATGATGATGATGCCATAGTGAATGAAAACTATTTGGTTCTGCTAACCAAATATTGGAGATAGAAATTAATACCAATTACAACATAATATGATTTTCTTAACTTGTTTGACATTATATTTCACGGACATAGATTGAGTCTGAAGTTCAGTGTACGGGACAAAATCAACAAACCGGTGTCCGTACAGCAGGCATTCGTCCGCGTGGCGCCTGTTGCGGCCGGCGCCCCGGACACGCTCGAAGCCATTTACGTGGCAGAACCCAGTGCTAACACCTACAGAGTCGAGCTGGTAAGCACTATAACAATTTTCTTTTATTTATTTCATCCATTACAGCCACTAAAATTTGATTGAAGATTGCATCACGGGGGCTGGGAGGGGGCTTGCCATAGTTGCCACACTTGGCAGGCAGGTTGGAAGCTGCAGTTTTTAATTATTTTGAGTTTTTAACAGGAAGATGCTGCTACCTGTCTCCTGTTTCAATTTCTCTCTGTCGCCTCTTACGACACCGACGGGATGATATGGGTAGTGGATGTTCCTACACCGCCACTACACCGTTTTATATATTATGAATTGTTAACGGAAGAATTTGTAAAAATTTCTTTACTATATGCATGTCAGATTGATACGTTCTTGGGAGATTTTGGCGACAGTTTAACGCAACGGATAGTTAATGACGACTGTATCTTAAGTTCTTTAGGCGCCTAGCAGACAAAAATAACTTAAGGTTTATAAAATGAGATATTTTTTCCTACAACTTTCCTTTTTTATATTTAATAGGGACAAACGAGCATGCGGTTCACTTGCCCGCTCACGGCTATCTTCCAGTCATTGACAATTTTAATCCATTCAAGGCGGCCCAAAAAAATCGTCCTTATTACGTGGGGGCGGGCGGTTCAAAGTAATGACGCCGATCGGCGTTTTCCGCACATGAAAATGATTTTTTTAATTTAGACAGAATTCTGCCGTGTAGTGGCGGTTGAGAATATCCACTACCCCATATCTTCCCGTGGGTGTCGTAAGAGGCGACAGAGGGAGACAGGCAGGAGATGGGCAGCAGCATCTTTCTGTTAAAACTGTGTTATAATAAAAAACTGCGGTTGCCAACCCGCTCGCCAAGCGTGGCAACTATGGCAAATATCCCCCCCATGAATAACGACGCAAAAAAACGGCCCCCAGTCCCCGGTGGCCCCGCTATTCCTGGCTACGGTGGCGACCATGGTAACGGCGGGGCAGGGGGTGCTAAGAATCTCCGGTGGAGATTTGGTTGCCACCTACGACGACTCGACCTGGCAACATATAACGCACGCACTCTGAGGACTGACGAGAAAATACTGGAGCTGGAAGAAGAGGTAGACAAGTTGCGCTGGCATATTATTGGATTATCCGAGGTCCGAAGAGAGGGGGGAGGATGCGACAATCCTCGAGTCCGGCAACTTGTTCTACCACCGGGAGGGCGACCATCTGTCCCAAGGAGGTGTCGGATTTATCGTCCACAGGTCTCTCGTCAACAACGTTGTAAAGATTGGGAGTGTGTCGAGGAGGGTCGCGTACCTGATACTCAGAATCAACAAACGGTATTCGCTGAAGGTCATACAGGTTTACGCACCAACCTCGGCACATCCCGATGAGGAGGTGGAGGAAATGTATGAGGATATTTCCAGAGCCATGCATTCCTCCAAAACCCACTACACGGTGTTGATGGGAGACTTCAACGCAAAACTAGGCACAAGAGAAAGCGGTGAGCTGAAAGTGGGGAAATTTGGAGTAGGGCAACGGAACCGAAGGGGCCAGCAGCTGGCCGACTTTATGGAGAAAGAGGGACTCTTTATGATGAACTCTTTCTTCCAGCAGCAGTCCCACAGGAAGTGGACCTGGTCGAGCCCCGACGGTTCGACAAAAAATGAGATTGACTTCATTATGACGACCAGACGCCAACTGTTCAGTGATGTCTCAGTGATCGCAAGGGTGAAAACTGGCAGCGATCACCGAATGGTTAGAGGCACACTGAACCTAAATGTTAAGTTGGAGAGGTCTCGTCTAATGAAGTCAACGCTCCGTCCCCCTCGTGCTCTAATCCAGAATCCCGAAACCTTTCAGCTCGAGTTACAAAACCGCTTTCAGTGCTTAGTGGATTGCAATGCAGTGGACGATATGAATGACAAGCTCGTGGAAACTGTCCATGCGGTCGGAGCTAAGTTCTGCAAGACCCGCCGCAGAAGAACACAAAAACTCTCCGATCACACTCTTAATCTCATGGCTGTTAGACGGGAGATGAGGCTGTAATCGTCAACAGATTTGACAGCATACAGGCAACTGAACAGACAGATCTCCAAATGCATGCGGCGAGACTTACGCAACTTTAATACTGCTCGTATTAAAGAAGCGATCGAGCGGAACCAGGGCTCCAAAGTCTTTGCCAAAGATCTGTCTGCCAGAAAGAGCCAACTGTCAAAGCTGAAGACTGAGTGTGGCAACATCGTTTAGGATAACATCGTTTACAGGGGACACCTGAGATTCTGAGTGAGATTGAGAGGTTCTATGGGCAGCTGTACACATCATCGTTGGAGCCACACGCAAGTGTGAGTAACGATACAAGAGCAAGTCTTATCCGACACTATTCCGATGATATCCCGGACGTCAGTCTGAGCGAGATTAGAATGGCTCTCCACCACCTTAAAAACGGCAAGGCCCCGGGCGAGGATGGAATTACAGCGGAGCTTCTGAAAGCGGGTGGAACACCGGTACTTGAAGTCCTTCAGAAGCTCTTCAATTCCGTCCTCCATGGTGGCACTACTCCGGAGGCGTGGAGCAGAAGCACGGTGGTCTTGTTCTTTAAGAAAGGCGACAACGCTCTCTTGAAGAACTACAGACCGATTTCCCTTCTGAGCCGCGTCTACGTGCTGTTTTCGAGAGTTATTACGAATCGTCTCGCACGCAGACTCGACGACTTCCAGCCTCCCGAACAAGCCGGTTTCCGAAAAGGCTTCAGTACCATAGACCACATACATACCATTCGTCAAATTGTACAGAAGTCCGAAGAGTACAATTTGCCACTTTGCCTGGCGTATGTGGACTATGAGAAAGCCTTTGATTCCGTCGAAATTTGGGCGGTGCTACAGTCTCTTCAGCGGTGCCTAGTTAACTGTCGGTATATTGAAGTGCTGAAGTGTTTGTACAGTAGGGCTACGATGGCTATCCGAGTACAGAACCAGAGTACGAAACCTATCCAACTGCAGAGAGGTGTAAGACAGGGTGATGTTATATCCCCGAAACTCTTCACCGCTGCGTTGGAAGACGTTTTCAAGCTACTGACTGGAAAGGATACGGTATTAACATCAATGACGAGTACATCACTAACCTTCGATTTGCCGACGATATAGTCCTTATGGCAGAATCGCTGGAGGACCTTAGCACTATGCTCAATGACCTCAATGGTTTCTCCCAACGGATAGGTCTTAAGATGAACATGGACAAAACAAAGATCATGTTTAATGTCCATGTCACACCTATGCCGGTAGTTGGGAGCACTATGCTCGAAGTTGTTGACGAGTACGTTTACCTGGGACAAATAGTCCGACTAGGTAAGTCCAACTTCGACCGAGAGGTCAATCGACGGATTCATCTCGGCTGGGCAGCGTTCCGGAAATTACGACACATCTTCTCGTCAGGTATACCTCAATCTCTGAAAACTAAAGTGTATAACCAGTGCGTGTTGCCAGTGATGACTTACAGATCTGAGACGTGGTCTTTCACCGCTGGCCGTATGAGGACGCTCAAGGTCGCTCAGCGAGCTATGGAGAGGGCTATGCTCGGAATTTCACTGCGTGATAGACTCAGAAATGAGGGTATCCGCAGTGAAACCAGAGTGACCGACAGAGCCCAACGGATTAGTAAGCTGAAGTGGCAATGGGCCGGCCATATAGCTCGAAGAACCGATAACCGATGGGGAAGAAAGGTTCTCGAGTGGCAGCCTCGTACCGGTAGGCGTAGTGTAGGGCGACCCCCCACTAGATGGAGTGACGACCTGGTAAGGCATGCGGGAAGTCGATGGATGCAGGTGGCTCAGGACCGTGGTTTGTGGCATTACTTGGGGGAGGCCTATGTTCAGCAGTGGACTTGTGAAGGGCTGTAATGATGAATGATGAGACAGAATTCTTAGTATTATTGAAATATGACTAGGGATTGTAAACTCTTTTCCTGATTTTTTAAGTTAAAAATACTTTAAATAATAGCATTTATTCTACATATTTTAAAATACTAAGTATAATAAGTAGTGTTTGCAATTAGTAGTTGAAGGGAAGAGTTTTGACTTACATACTATTTTAGTGCATCGTAATTTGTTTCACTTAACCCTTTCAAAACGCCGCGCTATTGTTTTACTAGATTTTGTAGGTCCGACAATAACAGTTATTCATAACATAGACGAATTAATTTTTTCATTTGTTAACTCCCTATTGTTCCCTGGCAAACTCGCGTCGAAGCTCGCGTCATAGCATTTGTTGCGAGGCACCTTCAGCCTTGGGTTGTGGCATGGGTCCTTTAGAAGAAAGCTTTACTTCTGTTTTAGTCTCCGTGGTGAATAGAAGTGCGCCTTATCTATGCGTTATTTTCATATTTTCCAACGACTTCTGTTTTCGTGTTCCGGACTTTTATAATTTATATCTCTTATGACAACTTTGGCTAAGTGTGAACGGATTAAACCATTAGAGTGTAAGCTACGTACCTACTTACACGTCGTAACACCGTTCTGCGACAATCACTGATGGACTACTGCATACTGATTACAAATAATAATCATATTAACGCAGCAAAATGTTTAACTATCAACTATGTAATCAAAATTGCTCATAGTATAAACCTATAATTGCTTTTTTATTTCCATAAATTAAAATGGTCAAAATAAATATTTAATCAAAACGTTTTCAATGCTGATAACCTCTGTAAGACGCCGTTCGGCGTTTTACGCGTCTGGAGAGAGTTTTGTTATTTTTCTGAAATCATTATTTATAGAGGCGGCGACTATAAAGATATTGTATGTCAAACATGCACATATAAAAAGTATATCCCTTTAGAATAGAAATTGACCAAAATATAATTTACGCCGATTGCCGTCATCCGCCTAAGAATGACTATTTAAATGACGCCGCTGTGTGTTCACCGCAACCAAAGGGTTAATTGTTTCGGCAATATTAAAAAAAAATAAGCAATGAGATATTTATTTTAATTTTCTAAAACACGACCGTACCAATTCACGCAACATGTACCAGCTTAATATATATAAATTTTAAGTTTGTAAAATTATTTGTAAATAAAAACAGTATATTAGGATTTAAAATGCGAATTTAAATGATTGTTTACAGAACGTGGGGGCGATCGCAAAGCACCTTAACTATGCTTCAGGCGCTCATTCACTGACGCTATACTTAGGCGACAGTGCTGTCTCCAATCCTATCGCCTGGGAGCTCGGTGAAATCATCTTCAACTTTGGCAGGGACGCCAATGCCGTCGGTGCGCATAATTTGATTATGATTAATAATCTAAGCACTCATTTCAGTGAGGGTGATGACTTTTCCGCCATCAGGACGATGCCATTTAGAAATGAGGTTAAACATTTGACAAATATCGTAGAGGGGGAAGATAGTTGTAAAAATGGGTGCGTTTGGCAGAAAAAAGCGCTAGCAAGCGCTTACAAGCGCTAAAATAGTTTTCGCCCAGGACACGATTGCTACTTCAGTAGCGCCGACACAATCTGCCATTTTGCTTATTTAATTTGTTTGTTTTGAAGTAGAGTTTATAAGTTGTTTTGTGCAATATTAGTTTTAAGTAATATAATGACATGAATAGACATATACATGTTATTAAAAATTCATGATTGGTAAGTTTTTAATATGAATACTTTACAAACATATATTTAAATAAGGTTAGGTTCCCCGGTTTAAACTAACATCGTGTCCTAGAGGAAAATAGCTACTTACGATTTGACAGCGCTTACCGCTTCCGATCGCCATTTTGCTTACAAGCGCTTGCTAGCGCTTTTTTCTGCCAAACGCACCCAATGAAAGAACACACCGCTGAGGCATTGTTTGGTGTATGTACATAGATTAGAAACCGAAAAATTTATACAGGCTGTGAGTGTAAACACCATTATCCTTGGAACCAGTGGTTTGGTTTCACTTATAAAACGTAAATTCAATGAATTTAAAAAAACCACTATTTTCTTTCATAAAATTCAAAAAGTTTCTGTCCGACACCGTAAATTCATGGATACCCTATGCACCCGAGTGACGTAATCACTGTAAAGATCACCACCCACGCACTAGCTACCTACACAACATTCCAATAAAAACACAATAGGTACATAACCTGTGATGTAACTTTTCCTTCATACTTTCATCCTGGCTTAGGACAGGCAAAAATTGAGGAATTAAACAAAAATTGAGGTTTTACTAAAAAAAAATGTTATTTTTCATTGAATTTACGTTCTATAAGTGAAACCAAACCACTGGTTTCAAGGATAACGGTGTTTACACTAACACCCTGTATAAAAGGCAACTTACCAATGATGATGACACTGTGACTACCTGCATGACAAATAAGTTCACCTTTTTTTATACGTGGTAGAGCCATGCTGCAGCTATATTATGGTTGTAGTACGAATGGGTCGGCTCGACTGGAGAAGGACCACGCTCTCTCAGAATACCATCGTAAAATAGTTTAATGCTGCTGTGTTTGGTATGGTGAGTGTAGAGAACCGAGAGACCCTTTTTACTGGAAACGAGGCATTCCATCTTAGTCCTCACGGGTGACAACGCACCTGCATTTTGATTCGTAATCGAGGATAGATGTAGATGTCTATGGGCCACAGCATCCACTTACCATCAGGTGGACTGTGTGCTCGTTTGTCACCCTTATTCTATATAAAAAAGTTCACCTCAGTCCCAACTAGCGATATCTGGTGAGCGTAAAATTATTAGCCCTTATTAAGTTGAACGCACATTTGTCAGCGCCGTCCGCGCAGTTCTCACCGCATTTTAGAATCCGTTGTATGAAATCATATGTAACCTCGCACATTTCACCCGCACCGTACGCGCTGTATTTTATAAAATGCGGTAGATGTCCGAATATTGAAGGTGTGCTGTTGACGTCATATAATGCGGCGCGTTGGGCGCGTGCTGATACTCAGTGTTCCCTAATATTGCCTACTTAGTGGATTGTCCACTAAAACTGGTGGTTTCGACTACTAGTGGGGAAATATTGTTTACAGTGGCTAGTGTTTTTTCTAGTGGTTCAGTATAATTAAGTTTCAGATAGTGGCAAAATGATCACTCCACCATTAACCCTCTTAAAGGTTTCGAAATATATTTAACCTTCTATTCAGGAGTATTTACTTTTACTATGTAGGCAACAATGAGTCGTCAGACAAGACATGTGTAAGGTGATCTATCCATCAAATGTAAATATCTGAAAAGTCGTTCATCATCATCTAATAAGTCTTTATAGAGCATATAACTCACAGAATACCAGCGTAAAATAGTAGTTAATGCTGCTGTGTTTCGTATGGTGAGTGTAGAGAACCGGAGACCCTTTTTACTGGAAACGAGGCATTTCAACTTAGTCCTCACGGGTGACAACGCATCTGTTCGTAATCGAGGATAGATGTAGATGTCTATGGGCCACAGCAAACACTTACCGTCAGGTGGACTGTGTGCTCGTTTGTCACCTTATCCTATAAAAAAATATTCTCCATACAAGTGCCTTTTTAATGTAATATTGTGAATCCAGAACATTCTTTTCCTTAAAATTTTACTTTCTTCTTCCTCGGCAAATAAGCAGGCTATTACAACATTATTTTCCATAGTGATCAATGACACTGTACTGTTTCATTCATGTTTAGAATAAACGACAAAAGTTGTTACTAAAGCAATTACAATACTAAAAATTTGCGTACGGCGCGTACGTGTCAATGTGCGAGTCCACCAGTAAATACGGCGAGTGAGGTACTGATAAATGTGCGTTCACCTTAGTGTAAGCTTTTATTGTGTTAAAAGGAAATGAGTTAAGATGATGGTGCGCTTGGCAAAGAATACTAACTTGACCTATCGAAATTCACCTTCAAAGGGTTATACTTGTAACATGTATACATATAATAGAAATGAAAATTGCAGATGTCTGTTCATTGTATAATTTTGTGACAAAGATAATTAAGAAGTTCAGGTAGTTCACTCCTAAACGTGGGTCTCTCCCAAGGCGCGCCCTTAGCTCAATCTTCGACTTCACGCATCCAGTTGCTGCCAGCCGCCTTGCGCAGATCGTCATTCCGTCTTGCAAGGGAGCGTCCCACACCTAAACGCGGTCTCTACTCCATGACACTTTTTTTTCAATGGTTATGGTTTCTGTGACAAATGTGAACAGCCCATTGCCATTTCAGTCTGTAATACTCCTCCATGCGGACTTGATAAATTTACACCATAAGCTACTAAAACCACTTTTTTTAATGTTGTAAAAATAGCAATTAATCGATTAAAAAAATAAGTTCAACAATGATTTATCTTTCTGATAATGTGCTTTTTATATGTTTTTATATGTCAATATGACTGTTAGATACGATTTCATGCGACAAAACGTCGGATTCTTGATTCTTTTTTAGGCGCTAGTAGAACTTACCTACGCGCTCTACGCTTTGTGATTTTATTTTATTTTATTCAAAGTGGAACAGCTAACAGCTACATTATATATATTACACACAGATAGTACTGTAACTTAATATACGCAATAATGCAGCCCCCAGTGCTGCTCACAGACAGAAGACGTTAGGAGACCTGCAGCTGTACAGAAGGTATTATATAAACGTCGAAGTATGGTCAACAATAGTATTATAATGTGACTAAGGTAACAAAATTATTATTTGAAAAGTGTCTTGTATAAAAGACCACGAAACTTTTCCTTTGAGCATGTAAAAATCTATATGCTCGAAGGTCTCATTATATGTGGCAACCACACGCTGAATCGATGAACGAATACCAGTATTGGATCGACAGGTACTTACGGCAAAGACTTGAGCTTTTTAATAAATGCGTATGGAAGTATATGGTACTTTAACAAAAAGAAATAATTTTTGAATTTAGTTTGTCTGGCTGTCTATCTCTTTCTGCTGATCTTCGAAATAGCTGAACCGATTTTGACGAGACTTTCACTGGCAGATAGCTGATCTTATATGGAGTTACCATGGCTACTTTTATTTTAGGAAAATAATTAGAGTTCCGCGCATAATATATACTCATAAAATCCAATCATAATAAATACCATGCGGTCGAAGTCGCGATGTGCAGCTAGTAAACATTAATAGTGAGTTGTTCGAGGTAGGGTTGGCAGCGGGTGGTGATATTGCGCATCAGTTTCGTCCACCTCAAGCGTTATACCTGTAACATAAAAAAATAATAGTTGCTTGGTCGCGGCAGGGTTGCCAGTGCGCGGTGCTGTAGCGGGTGTGCGCGGCCCGCTGCCGGAGATCGCGCATCAATTCCGCGCGAAGGAGGCGCGGCCGCCGCGCGCCGTGTCCGACGTGTGCGCGTGCGCGTGCGCCGCGCCGCTGCTGCTGCTGCTGGCGCTGTGGGCGCGCCTGCGCCCGCGCCTCGCCGCGCCGCCGCCCAGCGCGCTGCTGTTCCACCTCGCGCTCGCAGGTACGTGCACGCAGTGTACTGCGCGTCGCCGTCTTCGCTTCTGCTGCTGCTGCAGGCGCGGCGCGGTTAACTATGGGCTATACACTGACAGGTGATCCGTATGTATGTTTGCCGCCCTTCTATAAAAAGGTGTAGTAATAATGTCCTCCATACAGGATTTTTAACTCTCAGCTTCTTGTCTCAACACTGACAGGATTATGGTACCCAAGTGTATGTGCAAGCACTGGTGCAATCTCTATTCCCTCGCTCTCATAGTCCTATGGGATGGTAATCCGACATGACCAGAAAGAAATCAGGTGCAGGACTAACGGCTTCACGTGATTTGTGGGTGAGACACCGCCAACTTCTTGACTCCGAGCTGCTACTGAGAATTTCTTGACAGAAAAACCCATAAACTGATTGTTGGCACGTTACGGGATTCGAACCCCAGACCTCATGATCAGGAATCGTGTTTACGACCAACAGACCAATCAGGCAGGCCGTTTAAAAAGTTATAATATTTGTTTTAATCTACTACAGTTTTACTACTCATTCATATAACTGAACATAACCATATCTTAAAATAACCCGAATCATATTGTAAACTAATGTTCAGAAGACAAAAAGTAACGAGTGCGGTTTGTCAGGTTCGCTGGGTCTGTACGTGATGTTCTGGCTGAGGCTGACAATGTTCGAGACGCTGCGGTACCTGGCTCCGTTGGCGCTACTCACGTTCCTGTCGGGGCACCGGCTGCTGCGCAGGCTCGCGCAGGACAAGGCTCAGGCGCGTTAACACAGCACAGCAAGCAACACAGCTTCTGTGTTTAATGCATTCCTCCATATTGTTGGGCCGCACCAGCCACTGGAGTTTCTTTGATTTTTTTTTCATTTTGCAATAACAATCAAAAGGCTTATTGCTATAAATACATAAATTTTTTTTCTATCGAATAAATCCTCTTTGTATACATTAAATTGATTCATCAGTATAAGCTATGTTGATTATAAAATACATCTTGACAGTATCGATAAGAACATCCAAGGTGAGGTATCTATGTAGAGAATGTTCCTGACATTAAATTTTTTATATTAAAATATTTATAGTTTAATTCATTCACTTACTTCTGTGTAGAAGATTTCTGTAAATTGAAAAATAAAACTTTTTTACATCTGTGCTAGTTTTGTCATAGTATGTGAAGTTCTTAATTTATAAGTACGATTTTTTTTAATTATGGATGCATTTTTCATTTTCTTATTTAACAGAAACAATTGTTAATATTGATATAACAATAATAAAGATAATTTCGTCTATCTAAATTCCACTTGAAATTGCAGTAGGTTTTATTATTTCAACACTTATTTAATTTATAAAAAAGAAAGAAAACATTCTGTCACAAGTGTTGTTTGAGAATAAAGTGTATTTAATAATGATTATACATTTATGTTTAATTTCTGTTTTTTTTAAATACCTGTGGAGTGTTATTCCCACACTTGTTGATTGATGATAAGGATGATATGATATATTAGTATGATAAGATAACGACTGCTTGATATGAATGCATTTAATGCACTGATCGATAAGTTTTGGCGCATAAAACTGCAGTGTTAGTAAGAGCGATAAGTTAACAAAAATAAATACATATAGATTATTGTGAAATATGTGCGTTTCATGGTACATCTTGTACCTCTGGAGAAATGACAGCGAGGGGTGATGATGGATTAATATCACAATGCTTAACAACAGTGTTACAGTTAGTTATTTAAATACTTATTTTAACAATTAATGTAAGTAATATTTTAATCCATAAATAAGTTATAACAATCAGAAAAACTACGATAAAATATTAGTGTCAAAGTTCTATATCTCATTAAAGGTTTACTTTCACTCTGCTCGCTACACTAGGGACTTCGAAATTTAATGGTCATGGCACAATGGGTGAGGACGCTACACTCCTAGTACTTTTAGCACTGACACTTGCTTGCTCCGTTTGGCGCGGCGGTGTTCGTTCGCCAGCTTCCTCAGAGCTCTCCTTTGGAAGGCTTCTCTTCCACGAGCACAAGAAAATTAGGGATAGGCCGAATATGGATTTCACCGAATACGAATATTCGACCAAATGTTCGGTAAAACTTTTACCGAACCGAATATTCGGCCGAACATTATTCGGCAGGATAACCTCGGGACCTAACCAATTTATGTCCAAACTTGTTACCGTAAAGCGCGCGGGATTAGAGCCCGACCCTGCCTCTCGCTCCCCGCCACACCTGACGGTTATTCATCATCGAGTACTGAGCAAATTGCCGATTTTGACTATTCTAGTTATAAAAAAGTATTTTGTTGTTTTATTCTTAGTGTAAATTGATAATTATATGATATAAATGAACGGCAGTAGATTTACTATTTGGACTTATTTTAGAGAAAATGACGACCAAAGTAAAGTGAAATTTACATATATTTGTAATGTTTCTTTGTTTGATTCCAAAAACATTTTATCAAGTTTCTATTTGCTATAATCGGAAATAAATCTACAGTGCCTCAAAAACATAAATGTATAGATTTATGCATTTGAGGCACTCTAGAGTAAGTAGGTAGACCCATAAATAAAATATAATTTCAACAGTAAAAGACATCGCATTTCTCAATTCGTACATTTCAATACTTTGGACAATATGAAAACGAATGCTCGGTGATTTAGCCGAATATTCGGCTGAATACGAATATTCGGTAAAGCTGCCGAATACCGAATACAAAACGAATATTCGGCCCATCTCTAAAGAAAATAAGGACAACTACCGACACCCATCCAGCGACTAGTACGTATATGTCTGAATAATGATGAATGTCCTGGATGTTTAGGTTTTGAAAGTTCTCCTGTCCTTTGATAGCGTTTATCTGGTTTTTCGGGTATTATACAGTTGCTGGTGACCTTCCATTTTAAAGTTAGTGATACTGGTGTTGATAAGATTATTCAGTTAGTATCAATAAATTTTCTTTGTCGGTGTTTTCTTTTTTTGTGTATGTGCCCTACTAGGATAGGACCCATATATTAATAAATGTACTTTTATTTTTAAGAGAGCAGTATAATTAAAGTTATAGTACCAAAAACACGTCTCTCTTCATTGACATCTTTCCTATATTACAACCGACTGAGGTGTATTCACATTTTAAATTGTATCTGGAAATCTTTAAAGTAGTGATTTTGTGCATATATATTCCAAACGCATTCCCTTTTAATGTAGGTACATCCTTGTTGTAAGCTAAACAACCAATTCCTGCTCAAATCTTCTATATCCATCCCAGATCAACAAAATATACGTACCGTACATATATCATGACGTGAAAAGAGCCAGGTGTTATCTCTATGCAGTTTGATCCACCGGTCATTTTTAAATTTAAAAAGTGCTTGTACAAGATAATTTCATTAAATATTTCATTTCGCATATTGATTGTTTAACTTTTATGTCGCGATTTATCCAAGGAGCAAAGTAGCTTATTACTGGCAGATATGTGCAAAGAAAATTGTAAATTGAACTCTGTTAACATTATTGTCATATGTTCTTTTCTGAAGTTAAAGGCTATGTGTGGGAACGCTGACTTTAATTCATAAATTTTCTTGTCTCTTTTTTGGAAAATAGATATAATTTTGTCGAGCTCATATATTTCATTGCTGGCTAAAGGTATTCTGATCTCAACGATAAAGCAATCCATGGTGAGCTCGCTACAAAGCTAGCTAGCTGTAATAATTTAAATAGCTCCTTAGGGCTAGAACTACCAATAGGTAGAGTGAGATCGGTTCTCGATTGATGATAATGCGGTTCTGCTGTTCTAGCTGCTCAGGTGTCAATAAGTGAGTATCGATGCGGTCTTGCCCGAAGTCTACGAGAGAGTCGAGAAAGGCTCGTTGCATTCGTTTAAAATTTGATACGATGATATTGGCGGCTAACGCTGATGATTTTACATAAAGCCCGTCGTGTTATCTAGTTTGTCGTACTTGGTTAACTTGAATTGTTGAATTATTTATAATATATTCCCTAATAGGTAAACTACTTGTTAAATATATCTTCATGTTCATAAGGCCTTAAAATATTGTAATGGGATTCAATTCTGCGTCTGATTTTTGATAAGAATTTGAAGGTGATTCCAGTTGCTTGCTATTTTAGAGCTTATTAGAGGTCGTCCGGATTTGTAAGTGAACAGGGCGGTCGGGAGTTCGTGCACGCTTCTATTTGGTGTAATAATATAGACTCTTCGGAAGTAATTTTTTGCTATCCAAGGACACGTTTGAAGTGATATTTGAGAAGCGTGAAATGCCACGTGCATGCATGCATGATATAATTTGCCGATATTATTTTTTTACAATCGGGAGATGCCTACGAAATTAGTTCCATTGTCGCTAAACATGTTCTTTGGTAAGACTTTTAGATTATATCTAGTCCCATTCTATCCCCAGAAGACACAAGTTAACGCGTTAACCGCTAAAAGGAATCCCTTTGTCGTATCTCCTCAGTTTGAAGGCACTCTCCTTGCTGCCTCAGCTATCATCAGAATCCTCGGCGTCGACATAACGAATAGTGTGCAGTTTGGCCTCTAAAAAGCTTAACGTAACACCCAAGTCACCATTTTTACCTAAAAGTCACAATTATGTTGCGCAAAGTACCGGAAATTCGTTAAAATACCTTTGTTTTAATCGCGTTTGCGGTAATAATAAATAAAACAAGAGATTTCTAACTCGCAATACATGCATATATATTGTTTATTTTGTGTTTAACTCCGGTGGTATCACGACCTCACAGAATACCAGCGTGAAGAAGTTTACTTCTGCGTTTCGCCTGGTGCCCCCTCCCACCCTTAACATGGTAGCGGAGTTAAAAGAACACTACCGCAGGGGGGTACCTGCACCCCTGGTACCAGAATCCCTCGCTGAGCATCCACGCCCAAACTACCCTACTCTTCCTGAGCGTGGGTGCTCAGGCTGACAAAGGCAACACCTGCCACGCTGTCCGTGAATTCCTGCAACATCAGGGGACTTCATTCAAACCTTAACGCTGTTCACTACCATCTGGAGAAGGCGAAGCCGGCTTTGCTACTACTAACCGAGACACAGGTATCCTCTCCGGCTGATACTTCGTATCTCTCCTGCCCGGGGTACAAATTATTCCTTTATGCCCCGGGTTGAGTTTGCTTGTACGCCAGAGAGGACATCTGTTTTCGACACCTCTGGAACCCTAAAGGACCTGTCCATCTTATGGCAGCGCATAGACAGCGAAGACCATCCCCGCGTCTATGGGTGCCTCTATTGGTCCCATAGCGGTAATGCCGACGCAGACCATCAACCACGTCCAAATGATCGATGGATCTGTTTATGACTTTGCTTGGGCATATTGTCTGACACAATTGGTTACTTCGCCTACGCGGATCCCAGATGTGGAAGATCATGTACCTTCCCTGTTGGACCTTCTGCTGACCTCTCATCCAGACGGATATCAAGTCTCCATTAATGCCCCTCTTGGCTTGCCCTTCCACTCACACTCCCATTGCAGTTGCATTCTGCAGGTTTTCGCCGTGGCACCATAGGTCGGCCGATTGGGATGGGATGCGGTCTTTTATTGCATTCTAGATTCTACCCTTGGATTTGCTTTTCGCCGGTTAATCCCAACGTTGTTGCTAATTCTGTCGCTGATGTGGTACTTCAGGAAATGAAACTATTCTATCATCTGTGGTGTCTATTGGAAGCAGAACTCGCTATGGTTTAGTCACTCCTATAAAATTGCACCATGCCATAAACAGGAGTGCTACCG